TTTATATTCTAGCTTCTTAATATCAGTAATTTGAGTTTGTAATTCGTATGAAACTACAGACTTAGTATTCTGACTTCACAAACATCTAATTTGAACCAGTGTTGCATTCAACATACCATGTGATACACAAAAATCTATGTTTATCTGTGTTTTTAATATTTGCTTTTAAATTAAGAAATTGATTAAAGTACTAAAATTATAATAATTATTAAAATTATAATATAGTACTAAAATTTGAATTATAATCTACAGTTTGATACCAAACTTATTGACATAAATTCATAAAATAGTAGTTCAATAAAATTTTGAATGAAAGTCAACAAATGAGATGACATGGCCTTTCACCCATGACCCATCTGAAAAGGGTTAATATCTTAACCACCTTTCCCACTGCTGCATGGAAGTTCAATGTTGACTACAACATGGTAAAATCAACCTTTTAATATCAAAAACTAAATTCCACAAAAATTTGCAAATATATGGCTTGATCTATAATTCACATAAAAATAACACAAATGTTTATTATTTTGTGGGCAGTACTTTCACCATATTTGACATATTTTCCAGATGAAGGACTTTTTACATAACTAGAGCTCTTCCAGACATGGTCAAATATGTCTATTTCCCTACCTAAACAGATCTGGATCAAATGTCGCACTTTTTCAGGTAAGGCTATTAAAAAGATATTGCTTTATAACTCTGTTAATTGCATCTTAAAGTATTACTGAGTAAATAATTAGATATTTAAGTCACTGATGATATATGGCAAGATTTTACAGGAGCAAAGGTAATAAAACTTCCAGAAGCATAACATCCTATGTACTTTTAATGAGAAAATACATGGAGTTAACAACCTTTTTGTTGCCCAAAGAAGACACACAGCTGAGTAATTCCTTTCTCCAGTAACATTTGTTTCACAGCATTTTCTGGATCACTCAGTAGGGTGGACACACTTTGCTGCACAAGTTCATGCAATGCCTGCAGCTCAGTGTCATAAGAAGCCTAAAAAGGAAATATGATGTTTGAACACTACAGCTTTGCTGATCTAATCAAAAGAAAATATATATATCATACACAATATGTATGAATTTGTAAGTGGATAAGAAGACTTTCAAAATATGGAAAATTAACTTATTAATTATAATAATAACTAAGCTTTAATTTCAATTTTTGTTTTTAAATGCTGGTCAATTACAATTTATAGAAAACAATATCATAACAAACAAAGAAAACAAATATGTTTTAAGCAAATTTGAACTAAACTAACTAACTAACAATAAGAAAATATAAAGAAAACACAATAAAATGCTTTGGTTGTCAAATTCAAAGTATTAGTTTTCTACCTGGTTGTGATGACTCTGAATGGTAGATGTCTCTGATGAAACATTCAATGTCTCTTCATCTAACTGGACTTTTTCCAAAAAGCTAGAAACCAAATTTACATGCTTGTGTTACTTCTAAGTGTTTTTAAGTTGGAAATTATATTTGTTTTAAATCTATTTTCCTTCTGTTTTAATCAATTTGATGCTTTTTTCAATTGATTATTGACAATTACACATACAAACAGTCATGTCTTGACACTGAAGACCAAGGTTTATTAGAAAAAGAAAACTGAGTAAAAAATGAACATATTTCTTGAGAGTAAAGTGAAATCAATGTAGCATGGATACGCATGACTTTGGTATACAGTTTTAACTTTATATCCTATATCCTTCGAAATTCAATAAAAATAAATAAAACTGAAACACACAGAAATGCAACTAGCGAAAATAAATGTATAGCTAAATTTTTTTTAGTTACATTTTAGACAACCACTTTTTGTTGGGTTACATGGAATAATACTTTTTAACAATAATACGAGTGAGGTTTTTGGGTCCTTTTTAACTCACCAAATAGTAACCTCAATTAATTTTGGAGTGTTGAATTATGGAATTGCATCTAATTTATCAATCAATGTTATACAGCAGACTATCTGTTCAATGATTTTAATTGGTCCATCCTATAATACTGAATAATAAATTAGATGCAATGTAATAATCTTATTCACCCAATTAAATCAATTTAAGTTACTATACGGTGAGTTAAAAATAACTCAAAATCTCCATATATATTATATAAGCATAAACATTATATGAGGCTTAACTGTATTTATTTGATCTGCTGACCAAAGCTGTGGTGATGAGCCTTGAATACGTAAAACTGCAGTCCATAGTGGATGGGAATAGGGAATCAAAGAATGTATTAGGCCTTTGAATGAAGCCCACATTACCAGAAGAGAAAGAACCATCTGTACAGTGGAAGAAGGAGAAGTTCATCAATCTTTCTCATCTATAGAAATGTCTATATTCTCCAAGGTTCACAAGTTACTCATTCTTAAATCTGAGTTGACTTTTTAGTGGGATTGTAAATGTCCAATTTTTAGTCGGCTCCTACCTGCACTTTGCCATAGTGGGGGAGTCCCACCTCAATCGGCTTTTGTTGTGCACAAGGGTCTGGTTCTGCAGTTCCAAGTTTTTGCTTTCGGAGTTGCATCGGCTACACATGGTTTCTGCTATAACGTACAAGTTTTTTTTCTCACCATCTCCATTCCATGAAAGACTGGATACTGTTGGCACCATCTCGTCAATTGTTAGAACATCACATCCTAATTCGATTTTCAGAAATAACCAAGGCAAGCTTCCTTTTCAGGGCTGAGGCATCTTTTCTTGCTCCAATTACATTTGTCATTAGTCTGGATGTTTTTCATTTTTCATGTTGTCTTTCAGTCGGGCTCGGCTGACTCCCATCCGACTCAACGCTATGGAATAGGATGTCACATTCTTACTTTTGGACACCAATCTCCTGTCTGCATAGGCTCAACAAAATACAGGAATAAAACATCAGAAGAACAAGCATGACTCTCTCACTACCCCTAGACAAACCAAACTCTGATAGCTTTAGAACTAAGTTCCAAATCCCAATGATGTGTGGGAGATGGAAACTCTACAAGTTGGTTGGATAATAGTGATGAAGATGTGAACTGACTGAGTAATTCTGACACAAGGACTTGAAGTGCTCCTGGATCCATGGTTAAGGTATTCATATGTCCAGAAATTCGTGGAGCCAACCCCCACAGACCCTGAAGGTATACAATAGTCACTGATACCGCTGTCAATCCGACCCAGCAGCAGAACCCATGGATATAGACAGAATCTATTCTGGGTTCCAAGGTAACAAGGAGCTCACGTCGGAGGTTAGGACACACAAATAGGGGTGGAACTACGACCCCCATAGGAGCCAATGAAGCTTGAGCATTCCAACATCAAAAGGGAGGAACGGAGAGGCCGAAAATTGAACCAATGTGCATGCTAACAATGGATCCAGCTCGTTATCAATGAAGTCGGTGGTTCTGAGAGTATTCCAACAAGGTGTAGCGAAAAGGAAAACACAATGCTGAATTTTAGAACTGAAAATCCGTAGATTTACTCTGTCCCATCAGGGGACATTGATCTATTCAGGTTAACTACCAACTCTGCCTTAGAACCCCGACATACGAGGAGCAGATGTATTACGTGGGAGTTGGAAAATTCATCCACATAGCAGTGGTAGGCTAAATCACAAAGTTCTGACAATGTGTCAGATAAGCCATAACTGTCCCTTCATGTAACTGAGAAGTAAACCTTCCAGCATGAACCACAATATCCATAGATGGAGAGAAAACAAAAATTCACTCCTAGACCTTTCAGCCATTAAGTAAGGTGCAGGCTCAAAAGAAACCAGGAAAAATCCCAAAACCTCACACTCTCGAAGAAACAACGGAAAAAAACAAATTCAAGGCAGCTTATCCCATAGTGGCCTACTTTTTCATTTTTATAGGTCATTTAAAGACTGTGTTGATTACCATTTTCTAAGATAAATTTGTTTTGTTATAGCAAAGCAACATTGGGCTATACAGCACATCCACCGTATGGAATCAAACCCCAGACTCCAGCATTGCAAGTCCCCACACTAACTGTCCCACAGGGGAGTGAAAAGCCAATTGACTAAAAGAAGGTGCAGGAAAAAGTGATTCTAAATTCTCTCCAGAATGTTGAGGATTGCCCTCAATTGTAGCCTCAGAGCCCATACCACAGATAAAATATATGTCTC